CGTCGTTACACTGATGATCATATTATATTTTATATACAGGATGTAACAAAAAAGCCTGACAAATAAAATAACTTTTATTCGAATCAATATACTCTGTTCCCATCTATACTATTTATTATTTTCATTTTTTAGTACTGGAAAAAATTCAAAATAACTAATTTGTAAATATATTTCATAGAAAAATGTTGATTGTAAATACATTTATTTAAATTATGTAGTTTATTTATTAAAATTTTTTGAAATCTCATTATGTTTGTTAGGTAAGTAAAGTTTATACAGTAATTGTAAAAGGCAATTTTAAATTCAAAAAGTATGAATTTTTTTTAAATATTTTAAGACAACCTTTAATCAAGTAGTTACTTGATAAAATACTTATAAATATTTTTTCCTTTATTACTTTTCAAACTAATGAGGGTCTTACTTGAAAATTTTGAAAAATTTATCTTAAACACTTGTTTTAGGTCTTAGATTAAATGTTTTTACAGTAAACATTTTTCTAAAAACCATATTTTTAAGCTAATACAGCATAAAAAATAAAAATAAAAATGTTTGAATATAAATAAGAACAAAAGTTATTTCATTTGTCAGGTCTTTCTGTTATACCCTGTACATAAATATATTGTACCAAACTACAGGAGAAATAAAAATCACTAAATCACTATAGATAGTATTCCGAGGGGTGTGAATAATTGTGATCGTGTTCCTTGAAAATAAAATTGGTTTTTGTTTTTCCTGTTTAGGAGTAATATAAAATGCACCTATACCTAATATTAATTGTTATAGTTTAAGAATCACATTTATAAAGATAAAGGTGGTCGGACAAAAAATCCTGAAACATTCTGCAATAAACTTAATATTATTGACGATAAGCTGCTAGCAGATATTCTGGTGGGAGAGAGCTTGAGATTATTTTGGGCTAGTCCACTTCCATCTATTTCCGCCACTTCACTAATTCTAACTATAAAATCCTGCAAAACGGGGATGGAACGGCATCCCATTGAAATATTATGTGATCATAAGTTCAACATACAGAGTAGGTACATCACTACACCAGGACAAGTTGTACGTCATTTTTGACTGGGCAAGTGACTAACCAACGTTAGGTAATAATTTATAATTGTATATTATAATAGACTTAAAAATACAAAAATAGAACTATACTACCAATTAATTTTGTTGTATTTTATTATGTAATTTAAACATTTGATTTATACAATTAAATGCATTATTACAATTAATTATAAAACGTACTATTTACCTTGTATTTTATGGCTTGAACATGTTTTTGAGTGCATTTTTTTAATCTTTTTTAGGTCATCCTTGCATTTTTTTATGTAATTATTATTTAATGTTTTTTTAGGTTATCAACTCCCTTGCTCTAATAAATAATAATAAGTATTAAGTAATAATTGATAAGTGGTAATTAACGGAATAATTTATCCAAGCAATTAACATAAAAAACTTCAAAGTGCAAATTTTCTAACCACGAGTAATTATTATGTACTTCGATTATTGATTAGATATTTTTAAATTCCTTTTTCAAAGTTTCTAACAGCGCTATGAGAGTATTAAGAAAAAAACGTTTGTTTATCCTTAGGAAAAATCTCTATAAATCTTGTTAGGTCAACTATTATTTAATTGATGTGCTCAATACATATTTTTGTAACGTATTTTATTTATATATTATTATCCTTTATAGTGAGTTATTAATTATTATATAATATAAATAATAATACATAATATGTTGTACCTATATGACATTTTTTACAGCATTTATTTTGATGGTTTTGAATGCGATTTTGCCTGGCTGTATGTCTTAAAGTTGTCTGTAATGTCATAACAGTTCACGGCCCTTCTAATAAGTAATCACTAATAAAAGGTCAAAGATACGATTATACACTGAGATTAATAATACAAATGTATTTTTTTTATTACATAATATAACAACAAAATGAGGTGATCCTGCATGTCATGTTCATTCATGTTATAATATTATTATTATTTATTAGGTGTGTGTATTAGGCGTGGTTAATCATCTATACCTACACGGCTACACATTTCTGCAGTGATTCTATGTTTAATATGATTTAGGGCAAGTCATAGGGTTTTGAGAATACCTTATCAAACAAAATAGATATGTAGGCTGGCAGTGTTCTACCTGGTTTATATATAGCCTATTTCATAGTGGATTTTTTAGATAAGAGTTCTCACGGTAAGGTGTACCTGCAGGGATCCCGCTGTGGATCCGTAATTTACGTTAAAACATAAAAATAAATGACTAAACGTTGTCTTTTTATTTTAATGTATTCAATTAACAATTTACAATTTTTACTATTCAATAGGTCCAATAATCTAATTATTCTATTCACCCTGAAAAAAAGTATTTTTTGAAGAATAAACACTATGCACACCGAAAGAGATCACATATTGGGTCGTTTTGCCTAGTGGTTCGACGCCCATAATAATATTTCTTATTACGTAGTACAGTGGTGTATTTAATGAGGGGAGGGGAGGACCGAGGGTTCCCGAGCCCCTTCCCCATCAGAACCAAAATAACCTAACCAAATTAAACTCCCTTCTGAAAACGTCTAGGTACTATACTTAGAGTACTTAGTATTACTTACTTACACCTCGCCCCGACAAAATTTTTAAAATACTCCACTGAAATAGTAGGCATAATGCGTTACAATGTAAATGTAATAATTAATAAATTAAATATATATTATATTATTTAAGGATCATTTTCATTTTCTACACATATTGATGAATCATTTGTCTGACAATAATACGATAGGGCTGTGAAAAGATTGTGCAATATTACACAGTAATTAATATAGGTATATAATAAGTGTAGATAATAATAATAATAATGGGTAAACGATTCGTAATTATTTAAAATTAACATTATGTGATAAAAAATAGATTGGTTTCATGTAAACTCAAGGCCGTTATTCAGAGCAGAAGACAAAATAATTCTATTTGGTTGACGGTTGTTGTTTTTATCGTATCATGTGCCTATATTATATATATTATACAACTTAAATTGCCCATCTACGACATTTTATAAAATTGAAATTATGTCAGACGGTAGGTACCTATCTACTTAGTACTTATTTATATTATTTGCATAAATGGGGCCGATGGAATGGGTTGTTTCTACACCAAAAACACCAACCCCCCTTTCTACACCACTGCGGTCATCGTCACTGTCCGTAGACGGCTAGAATGCTAGATCTATTTGAGGACGAAGGATATAATTTAGTTCTAACTATACAGCTAGGTACCTACAGTGCCAAATCCTCATAAATTGTAATATCGATTTCGATGGTGATGTTCTAAACGGGCAGTCGAGTTTCTATAGCTTCAGCAGTTCAGCGTCAAGCAACAACATTTTCTTTTTATATTACCTATAGGCTATAGAATTTTTATGCACAATAAATCTATGGCGAGTACCTATGCCTAGGAAGTTTTCACCCTAGAAAACCGGCGTGTAACTACAGCAACACTAGGTGCTTACGGTATTATCTATACCAACTTTATGATTTAGATTTCTTCAAAATATTTTGTCGTATGATTCTATTTCATACTTGATAATATTAATTTGGAGATTGCTGACTACAATAGAGTGTGTAAAGCCCATCACATGTTATACTTAAACATTAGAACTACCCATACTGGTTGTTCGCCTGTACGTATGACAATAACTAGGTACGGTGCCTAACCTAACCTAAGGTACCTATATCACAATTTATTTACACTCATTGCAGGTTCCTAACTTCATAACCTCTGTTTTTATAATTATTATAAGCAATTGTAAATCCCTAAACCGGCTAAACCATTGTGAAAATTTATCTTATATAGTTATAGTACCTACCTACTAATACTTAACAGTAGGCATAATGCATTGATAAGTAGTTAGGTACATACCTACCTAATATTATTAATAATATATATCTACTATTATAATACTTTAATACTTGCCCACTTTAATTGTAGTAAGTAATTACCTATTGCCTTTGCCTAAGTATATGGACGCATGTAAACTCTGCCACAAGCACATTTTTTTAGTGTAAACTCCACCAGGAAAAAAAACAGGTAAAATTGGGTTCATGTAAACTTTGTCAGTGAAGAAAATCAATCCACAGTATACAATTAATATATACGACAGATATCATATAGGTACATATTATTAAAATATCCCGAAAAATATACAAAAATTAATAAAAATAATAATTGTCAAAACAAAGAATAATGGAATTATTTGCGGTTGTAATTTAAAAGAATAAGTAATAAACTAAAAACTAATAAGTATTCAAGTTTATACACTGCAAATTGTATGTATCATACAGTGAATTATTGGTAGACCTTAAGACTGGTGCAGAAATCAAAACATAAAATATGTTGGTAGAGCAAAACTGCAAAAGGCAAAACCTATATGAAATCAGCAGCTAAAAGAAGAATGGAGGAGATCTATAAACTCAAATAGCCAATTTTAAGCTTTTCACTAGGATATTAGAGGACAGTACATAATGTAAGAACATATTTGTCAAAGGATAATTGCTTGTTGGTAATAAAATAAAGTAAGAATTTTTTTTATAGTTAATAATAAATATGATGTGTAGGATGTAGGTAGGAATTAGGCAAGTAGCTTACAAAGTTACAAAACAACAAATGTTCCGGTGCAGCTAATATTTTACCTGTAAGCAACATATTGAGCTAATTTTTAGTTATAAAACTATTAGTTTGTTTAAAAATGATATCACATAAAAAAGATGAATCATTTTAAGAATACACTAAGCAAGTAAATAATTGTATGTTTATACTTTATTATGATTGACGATTATCTATTATTTTTAATACAAGCGTTTATAAACATGTACTTATTTTTAAACACCAAAGTTTTGTATAAAATATAATTTAACTAATAATTTAACAAAATAATCAAAAAAATTAATTCTACTAGAAACAATTCTTTAAATAACCTTAATTCAATAAAACAATGAAATAATAAAGGAATTTATTATATAAATAGAAACAAAAAGAGCCAACAAATCACACACAATTTTAAACTAACTAATTTTAAAAGCGATATTTTATTTATGAATAGATAATGTATATAATATTTGTTACATAATACTTGTATTGTTATGAATTTGTATAATCTTAAGTAATATTTATATGGTCAGTGTTCACATTTTCACCGTTTTGTATTTGAGGTTCAAATATTTTTTATCTCCCTCTACTAATTGTCAAATTAGATAAATAAATAGAATAACAAGAATTGTTAAAGTGAATAACTCTTACGTAATAGTTATCCCACAATATAGTTTAAAATAAATTATTCTTTAACATTTTGTCTTTTACAATGATTATTTTAGACATATTTATACTTATCCTTATAAAAAACTCATAGGTACCGAACTTGACACACCAACTACAATGTTCTAATTTATATATAATAATGCAACTATTAAAAGAAATATTACACTTATCAATTTGAAAAACAAAATATTATGAAACTTGAACTAAAATGTGATAATCTGCACAGTGTATATATTTTATGAATTGTAAACATCTAAATTGACATTTTATATAAAAAAAACAAAACAAAACTAAGTGGTATTATAGATTATAGAACATGAAATTATTTATATTTTTGTTTCATCAATGTTTGGTACTCCTCACAAGATTTCATTTGGTATTTAGTTGCTTTGTTGAATAAGGTAGAATCATCATCTAAACGTGCTCTCCACATTAACGACTCATCTAAAATATCATAGTCAAGTATAATTATAATTTGTTGATTACATTAAGATTGATAAATTAAGTGTTACTAACAGTATTCTTTTTCACGTATGCATTTTGTTCGTACTGTATTTATATAATCTTCTTCAATAGTATGCTCTAGACGTCTTAAATCGCCTGTATAGTCGGTATGAAAATTATCTTTCACAAAATATGAAATGTCTCTGAATGATGTACGACGAAGAACAGGATACTTCCTAATAAAAAAAATTTACATATCCATTCATTAATGTTCAACTGCAATAAATGTAAATATAATATACTTACGGGGAATGTTTTAGAGTGTACACTGGGTCATAGGAAAAGTTTGAAAACAATGATAGCAGCAGTAGTAGTAGAATTGGTAACAGCTGAAAATATATACTTGATGATTCCTATAAACAAAATAATAGAGTAATATTAAAAATATGCATCTTATTTAAGTTAATCATAAAGCAATGTCTTAAAGTCTTTAGTTTTTATATTTTAAAAATAATAATTTTTTTTCCTCTATATATTTATTAATAGAAAAACATTGTTAAAATTTAAAATTCCAACATTTATAAAAGCTTTAATTAAGGGTTTAGTATACCTAATGCTATTAAAATAGATAACCTCAAATGGATCAATATGATAAAATTAACAAAAGAACCCAACAAAAATATTTATTAGGCCAAAAATTCAAATATTTAAAATAATAATGATAAGTTGATAACTAAAATAAGTATATTCAAAAGGGATACACTATATTATATTAAATAACCAAATAATCCCAACTAAACTAATTGACACAATTTATGTGGATACCTTCCCATGTGTGAATAAAAGGAAACAAAAGAGCCTTTCTAGCAAGTAAAAATTTATCAAAAAACACCATTAAAAAATATCTTCAAATGATATATTCACATCAATTAAAAATAAAACTATCATGTTATGGCAACGCTACTGGGACTCTGCGCGATCTTTCAATAAACTTCATTTCATCAAAAGTTCAGTGAAACAATGGTCCTCAGCCGACATCAAAATATTGCGACCACCAGAATAAGAATCAGACACACTTTCCCTACGCATTCCTACTTAATAAGCAAAGATCATCTACCAATATGCAATATATGTCAACAAGCATTCATTATTCTTAGTTTCCCACGCAACATCAAAGTAATTCTCAATAAAGAACAAACCTCAAATATTATCAAGTTCATCTCAAAATGTAATGTAACAAACATAATTTAGCTTGATTAACATAAAATGTAAATACAAACCAATTTTTTATTATATATATTAACAAATTTTTATTTAAAACACAAATAAAAAAAAACATTAGCTAATAACCTTAGTTGTTGTACCTGATAATATCTTAAATGAAAAAAAAATATTGTATTTTTTTCAAACAACAAAATTAAAAAGTATCACAGGGAAAAAGTAATCAAAGTTCCCATAGCAAGTGTTAAAAACTTAAAAGTGAATCAAAAAACAAGACACAATATTAATATACTATACTTTAATACAGACATATATATACCCTTTATTTGAAGATTAAATGTAATATGAGTAATATGACAATATTTTTTTGGACACTTTTAATAAAATAACTGATATTAAACAGTTAATTGGGTACAATAGTATTATAAACTATAATCAATTAAAAACAAAACTGGTGAAACTTCAAAACACTAAAAAAATATATAATTGGTAAAAAATAAATTTAAAGATTATAATTAAACTCCATTTACATCAAGAAGTTACTTGAGAAATGCCTAGATTTTGTTGGGTCGCGGTCAGGCAGCACCGACTCAAACATTTGTATGTAGTTAAGACCTCAGGGCATAAGTTGTATGCCGATGTACTTTCATAAAGTGAATAGAGTGTAGACTATACATACATTAATACATCATTGTTTGTTTTTAAACACTATAAAATCAGTACTAAAATTTAAAAAAATAAAATAAGCTACCATTGAAATGTATAATAAAATAATATAGCAAAAAAACTATTTTTTATTAGTAATGGATACATTATTTAATTGTCGAATATTTTTTCAAATAATGAATAATTTAGATAAACTTTTAAAACAACATTTGCACATTCAACTGGCATTAAAATGAACAAAAATACTACAATATTGGAATATTATTATATAATTTATATTAAAAAACCAAAATATTATTCAAAAAAAGGAACCTTTATTTTTGATATTCATAAAACTCAATCTGTTATCAACGAATGGCGAACAACTTTTCCAGATGCATAATGTTAGTATGCAGTTTTCACATAGGATAGTGTAGATTAAAAATTACTAAAAGTGCTGTTAACCACTGTTTTTGTTATTGTCAAAATGTAAATTTTTTACATTTCTTTATAATTTTAATTAAAATGTCAAGTATAAATGTATAGTATAAAATAGATGATTGGCATGTTAGTTGGACTTACTACATTGGTCCAGATGTTTAGGTTAAAAAAAGGAGAAATATGATGCTATTATTTTCTTTAAAACATACAAATATTGAAATATGCCATGATATGATAATGACATAAAAAACCTAAAGATCTAAATCTTACTAATTACAAATAAATTGTTCGTTCTTTATGAACTGAACTTTAACTAAAAATGCATTTCATAATATATGAATATATTATAAAATAATTTAATGAAAAAAATCTATCTAGTTGAACGAGAGAAGTATAGCATATACTTTAAAATAATAGAACAAATAATTATTAACAACTTTGTGATATAATTTATGACTTTTTATAGGAATTACACATTTTAAAAATATTAAAATTATAATAATACATAAAACAAAAATCTAACAAAATTACGTATTATGTTTTGAAACCATGGATTGTTTGTAAATTGAAAATTAAAATTGCATACATTTCAGATATAAACATTATACATTTATACATAGACTCAATTACAGTAAACCAGTAATTTAATCCAAAAAATATTAAGTTTCTATAAGGTTTTGTAATTTTTCACTTTAATATAAGTACATTAACTTTTTTTTGTGTATAAATAAAAACAAAATAACTATCTACAGATTTTTCAAATGGATACCATATTTTTTAATTTAGTATTTGAATAGAAAAAATATTTTGTTGGTAATATATTAATTTACATAAATAATTCTAATGACAAACAGTTAAATATTTATATTACATTTGTCAAACAATACTTATAAATTGTATGCATTATAATGTGGCGGACAATATTTGAAACGTAGTTCTTACACATTTATTTAACTTTATTCTAAAGGTAAAAAGTAAAATCTTGATATTTAAAAAAATAACATCTGACGAATGATTGACTGTTTTTTATACATTCTTGATTTCAAGTCTGAACACTTGTTATATATTGCATTAAGTTATTTTTCTTAAAATATAATTAAAAATTATGGTTCCAATATAGAAGAAAATTTGTAATAATATTGATGGTTCATCAGACTAAAACAAAAAAATAAAATAATTTTTAATTTAAATGTTACTATGTAAAATTATAGTTGATTTCATTACATATAACATATGTATGGCTTTAAAATTAATCTCAACTTTATCTCCTTTGTTTCTTGATATTATAAAATTATGTATTTTTCCGATAGATTACCTGAGTTTTGTTTTTAAGATGTTCAGTTATGAAAATGTATGTTAACATGAAACTTGTATGCACGGAAGAATTTATGTTATGTATTTCATTATTAAATAACCTTAATATAGATACTTTGACAACTCTGACTTTCCAATATAAATTATCATATAATCATGAACATAATACAGAATTGTTTAAGTTTTAATTTATTTAAGATTATTTAAAGAACTAAATATATAAAAAAAAATAATGGGTAAATAATAACTATTGGGTTTATAATTACGTAGAACAGAATTTTTTTTCTCTTTTTTTTAAAGATATTTTTTACTTTTTCCTTTAGGCATTGACCCCCAATATTCTTTTAGATAAAAATAAAAGCAGGACCCCCACGGTTGATGGAAAGTCAGTTGGGCCAATAGTACCTTTTTTATTAGTTATTTGGTAGGTAGGAAATTATTTGTAAATTGTGTTGAATTAAAAATATATTTGGTATAGAAATAAGGATAAAACTTCTAATAAAAAATTTAAAAAAAACTGTTACCTGTTGTTGATGATTATCATTATCAGTCTCTGGTGGCCAACGTCTAGAAAATGATCGAGAATAGTATGGGTTTGACATTGGTCCTTGTCTTGTTGGGAAAGCTCCATTAAAGAACATGTTAAATAATTGTTCAGCTGTAATATCCGCTGCAAGTAACATATTTATTCAATACTCAATAGTGTTTTAAACAGTACACTCAAACTACTTACATTCAAATCCATGATCATAATTTCTGTGTACATGATCTGATGTAGAATTCTCATGGCCAACCATGTCATAACGTTTACGTTTTTCTGCATCAGTCAATGTGGCGACTGCATTACCTACAGCTGATTATATAACATAAAAAACCAATGAATTGTTTTACTTGTAAAATCATATTAAAATAAAATTACATACTTTTAAATGCTTCAGCTGCTCCGGGTGCATGATTTTTGTCTGGATGCAATACTAGAGCTAATTTTTTATAAGCTTTTTTTATATCAGTATCAGTAGCATCTTTTTTTATGCTAAGCACATCATAGAAATCTTTGCAGTTGTTAACTCTATAGGTATAAACAAATATGATAAAAATCTATAACAAATTTGGCACCAACACAAAAAATTTAATTTTGATTATAGCACCGTATAGGGTTCATTGACAATACAATGTGACTTGTCAATAGCACCACACATAGCACATAGTATAAGGAATAAGATGTATGCTGAATGATAATAATGCATTAATGCACATACTTTATTATAGGGAAATATATAATTTATACACGCAACCAACAATAAACTCAAGCTGATGTAGTGATGTCATATGTTTATATATTTTCATCTTATATAATACAGTATGCACAAAAACACAAAGCGATGCACATGCGCAGACTAAGTTGAGGATACTTCTTTTCTTTATACTATGGTGCTATGCACAAATGGTTACTAAGCCCTAAATGTAATATTTAATGTTTTTGGTCACCAAAACTATTATATTACTTCATTTGTGTTAAGAAGATCAAAGAGTGTGGAATGTAGGACAATGTTAATTTTTAAACAAACCTACGGAATAATTTTGACAAGTGGTAGGGTCAATGTGGTCATTAACCTGTTAAGGAATGATTTATATCATTGATCATAAGTAAAACAATTTATTTTCGCTGTAATTAATTATTATTATGTAATTCTTGTAGTTCATAGTTATGCATAATTAATCAGATAATATTAAATTTTATTACTTTTTGACTGTGTCCAACTGTGCTTTTGTATACGTTGGCTGATTAGCTCTTTCTGCTCTAGGGCTACCTATGAGTAGAATAAAAATGATTTAATGAACAAAAAGATATTATTTGGGAATTAAATACCTGGAGGTGTATTTTTACGTTTCTTAGCATTTTGTCCATCAGGTTTTGCATTTGCTGTTGAATGTTTTCTTGAGCCTTGAGTTTTTAATTTTTTTAATAGTTCTGCACAAAAATAAATGTATAAATATTTTGAAATTTGAAAAGAATTAAAGTACTTGCCATCCGCTTCAGAAGTTGGGAAAAGTTTTTTACTCTTATTTATGAACTTTTCTGCTTTTTCAATGTCCCCTTCGATGATATAATACTCAGCACGATCTAAACAGCGATAGGCTTCATCTTTGTTTACTTCCATGATAGTTGAATGGTAAGAATTTAAATATTAATTCAAAAATTGGTAAATTTTTTAAAATATGCACATATATTCCTAAGTTAGTGGAATACTAGTAATTAAAACCCAAAATACACCTATGTCATTTTAAATGTAATACTCTGTATTATGTTATGCCGTCAAAACAGCTTAAATTTCTCAGTGTAAATATAAATAGTATGACATAAAAAATGTGCTCGAGAGACAATAAAATTACACAAACGAGTTAAATGAGCACAAAACAAAATATTTAAGAAATAACAAGAATATTAGTTATAAGTTATAACTATACAAGAAACCAGAATAAGATTGAAGATATGGAAATAATGATAGACAGAATTAATCAAGACTTAAAACAGCTGATCGATGGTCAATTTAAAACCACGGTAGCCGTATGGTACCATACCACAACCATAGAAAAATCTGATGAAATACCACAGAACCAGACGTGAGTACGTGACAGAACAGGACGTGATATTATGAGATTTGAACACGGTTAGATATATCTTTTTTATTTTTTAATATATATTTTAGTAAATCTTAAACCGTGGATAATGGATATGAATTATGAATTTATTATCCTGATAACATATTAGTCAATAAGGAATCAAGATTCAGGACATTTCCCACTATGTATTTAAACAAATCGCGTATTTTGAATAATTATAAATAATTTAAAATTATATTAATAATAAGAGGAGATAATGTGAAATTAAACGCTAAGTTACAGAGGCACTATGCCACTATCAAGGGTAAAGGATGTGATTTAGTGTGAAACATTTGTGGATAGGAATATAGGATGGTTATGACAATTATAGGACGTTGAATGAGATGGAACAAGGAAGGGTGATTGACTTCTTGACTATTATAATGATTTACTTCCATGCTGGCAAGGAGATCAGGTATGTCTATGGAGGAATCTGGCAGGTAAAAAATAAATCGAGTGTCCACTTCACAACAACACGAGAAAAGTGAGGGAATACTAAGATATCACAGTGAATTTATACTTAATTTTGAGAACATAGGCTGAGTGCAAAATGAACTGATTTTAAACCTACTCAAGCCTTTATTGGTCCTTAGCCAGACAAGGATGCCGAAATACCACACCACAATACAGTATAAAGTGTACTAATCCCTAATAAAAAGTATGTAGAAAGACTGTTGAACTGAATGGCTTAGTGTTACGCACGATGGCACAACAGCTAAAGATTTTAAGAGTTATGAGTTTAACTAACCGTAATATTTATATGGTTATCAAAGTTGAAGATGAAGTTAAAATGGGTGCCCAGATCTTAAAATGTAAAATACACTCTTAAGTTATATTGTTTAACGAGTAACAGTAGTGAAAGATGGGCAATTCAGATTGAATTATTTTACAACTATGAGGAGTGTCAATGTTCATATGAGTTTTAGCCATCAGCAAAGAGAAGACTTTTGTTTTTTATAATGAATTGAAAAATAAAATAAAATAAATAGGAGGCTGAGCTTACCACCTTGATGTATGGTCTTTGTTTATTTAATTTGTGGTCTTCTTTATTGAATACTTTTTTTAAATCCATATCTACTTCAACTATTGACCATGTCACTTTTATATTGGAAGATAGTTTTATCATATAGATAATATTCTGTTTATTATATTGTAATTGTTGAGTTAGTTTAGTTGTATACTAGTGGCCTTTTAAAAAAAAGAAAATGTGCCATCTCTTTTTTCCAGAACTTCAACAAAAAAACTTATTAGATAGCAGCCTAGGGAAAAAGAATCAAAAATACCAAACACAATGTACATACTATATAGTTCTCTGACATAATATATTACTTATAAATCAAATACATATATCAGTATAAATTATACATTCAAAAATTAATCAACCAAAGTATAAAATATAGATAGTTATTATTTATTGATTTGTACAAACATTTTTTGTTATCCACTAAATTGTTTTTGACATCAACATAGATATTAAAATACTATTTTCGAAATCAAAAATATCAATAAACATTAATTAATTCATTAATCTTTTCTACATTCATCTACTTTTAACCATCGACTTAAACAATAATAATATTAAGGTTTCAAAGATAAAAAAAATAATAGTATATTACAAAATTTTACAAATTAATAATCAAATGAGTCATAAAAATTAAAGTACTCATTTTCAGTACAATACTCATCTTCACCTTCATCAGTGGAATCATATGTAGTTTGTGGATTCTGATAGAATCTATATGCGTTTCGATTTCCATTATATCCTGCATGGGAAAAAGTAGGTTGATGTCCTAAAAAAATAAAGCATTTGATAAATACCTACATGATCAAAGTTAATATTAATATGGTAAATTTGTGTTTTGTTGAGGTCAACAATCAGATTTTAGTTCACTATTTTTCGTTTATGTGGGTATAGTACTTACTGTAGGAACTTTGTGAATAATGACTAGATGTAGAAGTAGAAGGTTTTCTTAAAGTTTGGTCATACATTTTACGTTTTGTATAATCACATAATGTGTCAACAGCATTAGTAACAACTGATAAACAAAAAAAAAATTCATTTACAATAGAGACCTACTAAAAATATATTTTTTTTCCTTTTTTACCTATAAAAACTTCCCCTGAACCAGGTGCAGAATTTTTATCCGGATGTAATAGCAAAGCTAATTTCTTATATGCTTTTTTTATTTCTGGAATAGTTGCAGTAGTTTTAATGTTTAACATTGTGTAGTAATTTTGACTATTTTTGACCCTATAAATAAAAATTAGTACATTTACAAAATATTTAGCCTAATATAGAGATATCTGACAAATATACACAACAATGGTATTTATATCAGCTATTGAGCTGAATATATTGTATTTAATAATAGTAAGATGTTGGTCTGATGATTACAACAGGAGTCTCCCAAGACAGAATTTAGAGTTTAGAACGTAATAGAATAATAAACATATTTATAATTTATATGATACTCTGAACCAGTTTTAAATAATTCAAATAATACAATGTATTTTTATGGTATAGATAAGGTGAAAAAACAAAGGTAATATGGTATTTATAAAATATAATTATAAATATTGATTTAAATCAAACACTGAATTCATTCAATTAACCATGCAAAATATGCTATTAAATGATAAATTATAACAGTTAAAAACCAGTGAGTTTGTATGTATCTATTTTTTTCACTTTTTATAAATAAAATTATGTAATTGTAAGCATATAAAGTTTAAACAAAATAATATGTATTAATTATAATAATGTTTGGGAATATTTAGTTATTAATAATTCAAATTGCATATGTATGTTTAAGTGAATTAATCAATTAAGTTAAGAAAAAAAATCAATATTGTGTTTAATAAAGAATTTTTAACAATTTCTTAGAGGGTACCATCGCTGGACGATTTCCCTCATCATGTGCCTCATGTGTATTTTTTATAATGTATATAGGGTTATATAAATTATCCATTTTACTTATTGTATCATGTAAATACAGATTGTAAATTTTCTTATAGTAAAAAAAAAAAAAACAGTTTCTTGAGTGTCGTTATAGATGATACTGTCTGATACTAACTTTATACTAATTTAGGTAAATAAGTTTAAAATAAAAATATTTGGTAATTAAAGTTAATACAGATGCATCACATGTGTCCTTTACATTTTTCACAACAGAGTAGTAATGAACCTAAACTAGGCAAACCTCATAAATTGTCTCCTTAACCCAATTGTGAAGGAAAAAAAATCCTCAGTATAATGTTACTGGCAAATACAAACAATAATTATTTGAGTACTTGATAACCAGGGCTCATAAGTTCATGCACTAAAAAAAGCACAAATAAGCATTCATTCATGCACTAAAAATTGGCAAAATATGCACTAAAAAGTTTGAAAATATGCACATAATGCCCTTACATTTTTTAATTATTTCTCTCAAAATATGCATTGTGTAAAAAATTTATGAGCAAATTTTAGAATAATAAGAATATATCCATTAGTTTTAAAAGTATTTTATTCCATTTAATTTTCATACATTTAACCAGTGTTTGGAAAGAACGTCGTTCATGAACGCACGTTCATGCGTTCACGTTCATAAATAGTGAACGATACGTGAACGTCACTCGTATTTTTAAAATAGAACGTGAACGTGAACGCTTATATTTTTAATGAACTTGATCGATTATTTAGACGTTTAATTTATTTACCATTTAATAAATATATTTTAATCAATCATATTATAATAATATTTTCCATTGTAGTTCCTATGATATCGAATTTAAATTTAATTAGTAATTACTGAGAAAAAAAAATTAAATGAACGCCCAATAAACGCGTTCATTTTTTGAATGAACGTGAACGTGAACGCGTTCGTTTGAAAAAAACAGGAACGTGAACGCAAACGAGTTCCTTTTTTAAGTACTGAACGTGAACGTGAACGAGTTCATTTTTTTAGTGAACGTTCCGAACACTGCATTTAACAATCAAGATTAATAAAATGGATACTTGTGAAATTCATATAATCATATGGATTTGTCATCTTTATCAAATTTAAGTAGGTAGTAATTTTCTGTCTAATTTTTGTACACCATTATCGTGCACCTACAATGAAAACATTTTGAATGAAATATTAGTTATTTGACATTTTCACGACTCGTACAGTTAAACAACTCATCGGCGACTGGCGTGTGCAAGAAAACTATGCTGTACCAGTGTACACAATTGTAGATGTGGGTTGGTAAGAAACATTGTACACGTGTACATGCCTGTACAGGTATTATTTTGACGACAGACTTTACATGGCATAGAATGGTAGTGGTAGCGATAAAATTGTTTCCGCGGTACTAAGTAAAACGCATAAAACCTAAATAGGAATATACTAGAATACTAAGTAGTCACACGAAAATAAAAATAAATCAAAACACTATCATTTAGTAAACAGGAAAGTAAATAAGAAACAAGAAATATTTCAAATATTTTTTTATGAAATAATATGTGCTATAAACTCTTTAAAAATGATTATATGCCAAATATGCCTTTACACCCAAAACATGCGAAAACATGCACTATTAAACTTCATATTATTATTACTATTGTTATGAAACAGATTTGTATCTCAGTTAGCATGTTTTTCTGTGTAGCAAAAAAAAACATGCAGATGCATGAACTTATGAGCCCTGTTGACAACATAACATGTATAATATTTTATTATTCAAAACTTTTCTACTGGCTTATATTGATAATAGGGTTTTGTTGAAAATCAAAAAATGAACAGATTTATAGTCTATTGGAAATTATCAACAACCTATAGTTAACCTATAGTTACCTACCTCTTAACAACATCGGCCTGTTCTTCTGTATAATCAGGCTTATTAGTATCTTTCATTTCTTGAAGCTGTTTTAAGAGTGCTAAAACATAAAAATTATTATTACTTTTTTTATTCTTATTAAGTAGTATGGTATAATATATTAAGTTTACTATCAGCTCTGGTCATTGGAAAAAGCTTTATTGATTTAAGAATAAACTTTTCTGCTAGCTCAAATTGTTTGCTTTGTATGTATTCCTCAGCTTTTTCAAGACATTTGAAAGATTCATCTTTGTTTATCTCTTTAAACATCTTATATGAATAAGTAGTACCTATAACAATTATTTATGTTATTAATTACTTTCTTATAATTTCAATACTTATATCAGTATGAAAGTTCTTCATTTTTGATTAAATACAGATCCCTAAATACTAAAAACAACTTTGTGATAGAAAGTATTTATTTTTGTTTAGGTGTAGTCAATCCTTTAAACAATTCCTATAAAACTGGTATAAATATAAGTTATTGTACAAACTTGATTTGTAGCCCATTTTTGACTTTTTTGGCGGTTGCTTAGTATTACAGTCGGAACTGGATGATGAATTTGAATTATCACCATTATAAGACTCATCGGAATCATCTTTAAATTTACAGTTATGATTAGGTTACGCAATACAATACATTTTTAAGTTATGCACACCTGATTGATTTCGTTTCATAGGCCGTTGCTTTGAATGCTTCATTGATGATTTTAATTTTTTCATTAAACCTAAAAAATATTGTTTTGGTCATTTTAATTTCAAATTCTATTCTTATACTTAACTAAGTAAGATGGAATGATAAGCAATAAGTTGATATAAAACATTGTGATGTATTCAACTTCAGTGAATGATATAATAGTTTAATAATAATATGTTTATACAAAATACAAAGTATGAATTTCAGTTCATGGATGGAAAATCTGTAGCACGTGTGACTAAGATTGAGAGTAAAAATTTTAAATACTTAGGTATTTAAGTATGTTTTATTTTTAATGATAAATAATAAGCATAATGGAAGCATTTTTTCATTATTGTTGATGTCTTCTACTAAATTAAATAATAGGTTTGTTAAAAACATAGATAATGGATGAATGCAGTGCAGCACCACATGTATTTTATTATAAGGTGCAAATTGTATACCAAACATGAATCAATTGGCAAAAAAACTAAATTTATCACATCAAAACAAATTAATAAATACTTAAAGTGATGTTACAACTAGGGTAGTGGAGACTTGTAGCATTTGCACATTGAATGTGTGGACAGATTTTTTTTTTAATGTTCTATTTTTCAAAAAATAGGTGCAATATTAGTTCCTTTATGCAGTAAAAAAAATCCCAAACAAAATTCAGCATCATGCTTTTGAAATATTTGATGTTTTATTCATTGTTAAACACAAATTATCCATATATTTTTTATATTTTGATGGGATACAAAAACTCAGGTAATTTTTGGCGAGTTATGTGAGAAAAATTTTCCATCTCTGCCATAGTTATTTATTATTGATAGAATGAGTATAAAATGATAAAAGTTGATTTTTAAGTTCAGAAGTACCTATATATTGCTTAAGTTACTGATAAAAGTAACCGAAAAGTAAAGAGAGATTTAGGTACTTGTTTGTTATCGCCCCGCCAATACGATGTTAAAAATTTATCTCCCCGCCACTCTTGTTTGCTATCGCCCCGCCATATAGTTATTTGTGTGTAGGAAAAATAATGCTGGACGTATTCTGTCACAGCAATGGATTTTTGGTGGGATATGTCGGGAAACCAAAGCGTGTTTTATAGTGAGTGTACCTGATCGATCGGAGAAAACATTGCTACTTATAATACAAAAATATATAAGACTAGGCTCAATAATTGTGTTGGATTGTTGGGAAAGCTTACAATAATTTGCAGCAAGCAGGATTTAAACATAATACTGTTAACCACATGTTTAATTTTGATGATCCGGACACAGGGGCACACACCCAAAACATCAAGAGGTTGTGGCCTGTGGGGATCTGCTAAATGGGGAAATAAAAAGTGTCGTGGAACTAATAGAAATTTTCTGGAATCAAATTTAGCAGAATTTATGTTTAGAACACGTCTCGGAAAAAATGATGCATTTGAAACAATATTAAAAGATATTTCTGAGTTCTGGTCTCCTTTGTAAATTTATAGTTTTTTTTTTAAATTTATAATTATAGTACATTTTTATATTTATTTTTTATTGTTTATTTTATTATACTATAATATATTTAATTTATGGAGGGGTGATAGCAAACAAGTACCGAGATTTATAGGAAATAGTTTTTTTACTTGAACTCAGTGGCTCCGAACTCATGTATCATGTGAAGTGATTACCTCCCTTTTAAAATTTAGATGACTGGGATGTTGCTGTGGGCATGTGGCTAGTTGGATAAAAATGTTAGATTTCGCTTCTCAAAATGTTTAGAGTTAAGCTACTGCTTAAACTTATTCAATAATATAATTAACTAGTTGACCATGAAAAATTAAACTCCCGTGGATTTACTTATCTTTAAACTCTGTTAAATACAAACTTTTCTTGCGAGATGAACAAGTTCGAGTACAGGATTACACATGAACTTTATTTACCACAAATGAGATAGAACTTGGCTGTGGATTGCTTACACACACTCAAACACTCAACCATTGACTCTAATTAATATGGATTAAAAAATAATAGTAGACAAGAGTGAGCTAGGGCAATGGTATAACTTTGAAGGGAATACACGAAAATAATAATTAGGTACTACAGAACAATAGAATATTATTATTATAAAACTAATAGTAATCAATGATTTCTGTATTCTGTGGATACTATTTTTCTTTAACTTGGCAATATCCCTAATGAATTAGATAACAATACCTTTCATCAGTAATGTAATTGAAGTATAATTATACATTTGTAACGTAGCTTTTAGATATCATTGTATTAAATTGTACAAAAATATATTAAAAAAGATCCAGTATCAAACTTAACAATAATGATTAATTCAAACAATCTTGACCAAAATATAAGATAAAACTGAATCACAAAAAAATTCCAAAGGGTTCCCATCCACCAACATCTTATTACATAACCATTATAATTATGTAAATTAGGAGGTAGGTACATTAATAAATTATTTTATCTACATAATATTATAGGTATAATAATTAATATGTACCAACTTCATGTTTTGAAGAGGGTATTATATCCCTACAGTGTGATCATAATACATAATGGATAACACATAAAATAAAATAATATTGAAAATAGTATTCGTAATCAGTGATCACGAATACTTCATTAGTGCCTGTTGTAAATAACAATTTTATCAAAAGTTTTTAAGTAACTCACGTTTTGTTTCTGGTGATGGATATAATTTGTTAGCTTTCACCGAAAATTTCCAAGCATTATCCAAATCTTTTTTTTTTATGTATAATTTAGTCAACTCAATACACCGGGAAGCCTCATCTCGGTTGCTCTCCATTTTATAATAAAATAAATCAAGAATTTGTAGTGTGATTAATACGTAAATTATATCATTTATGATAAAATGGTAAATTAAACTAAGAGGTTCTAATTAAAAGTATTATATTAATTATGAAGTAAATTATATTCTGTGTACAAAAGTTGGGTTAATTGTAATGTCACCTTCCAAAAAAAACTATGAATAAACCACAAATTTTTGACTGGTTTGAAATGAACACAAACTAAGAATAATGATCATAATATTAAATTAATGGTTAAAAATTTAAAATTAAATTTTTAATCTACAATTAGAAAATTGTAAATAACTAATAAAAACATTAGCGATTTATTCCTATCGCCGTCGTTCGTCGTTTTAATATTTTTGATAATAATTCCTTGTTATCCATAGATAATAGTGATCCATAGACACGGACCACCATAGACATACAATATAATATATGTCTATGCTGACCACAGTCACGGGCCACAGACTTCAAGTAATGATATCTATGTAAAGATATGATTTTTATTATCTATGAAAAAACAATAGTGTCTAATGGTCTTCTTCCATGATATTCCCAAACGCATTAGTTCTTTCTCTCTCTTTCTATCTCGTCCCCGTGAACTTACTATAGGCATGGCGCCATGGCACATTGCAAGGACTTGTTTTGATCATATATAATACATTATACATAATATATTATAATGTACCTATAAAATATTATCTTTGGTTTTTATGTACCCGATTAAAAATACAAATGGGGTAGTTTCTTAGTTATTAAAATGTTTGAACTAAACATAATTATCTTAAAAAATAATTTAAAAAAAAATGAAATAGTTGTAAAATTGTATCTTGTATTTATCATACCGGAGATATTTTTATAAGCTATTAATATTAATTGCTATAAATGTCAAATCACCATAGCTCCCATACCACGATATATCTTAAATTGTGCCCCATACTTATATGCCCATTACGATTACCACGGTGTAAGGCCGTGACCATAACAATGGACCTTTTATCATTTTGCTCACAGGACACTCATAAAAAATATCAAGAATTTGAAAATATGATCTAAATGTATATTTAAAAATTCCAAAAATCAGATTTCGAACAACTGCGCGATTGAAAAAAAAAGGGTGAGCATGTTGGCGAATCACTCCGTATATTTTATTTTCATTTCATAATTCCAACGCCTGGTGACAATTTTACAAAGATATAAAGTATTTCAGATTTAACCACGATTGTAGATATAACATAAATTTAATCTGTGGATTTAACATCAATGTGCATTGTGCACGTAAATATATAAGAGTTCATAAACCTATTAAAAAAGGTTATTATAGACAGTATATCGTCTAGGTAATATATATATTTATTATTTATATATCAATATATTCATGACCATCAAGCAGTGTGTACTGAACAGGGAACACTATAAAGTTTTAAATGATCAGTGTGACCAATATTCAATTAAGACTTATAACTCCATTTTGTTGTTACTTGTTATAATATGTTAATGTTTGCTGTTTGCTTCTCCGATACACCGATGATAACTGCACGAAGAATATCATTTTTACGCTCACAAGCAGTTCATTGGCCATAGACCATTGGCAGCGCTATTCATTACTATTCAATATTTTCTTTATAGTTTATTGCAATTCGTAAGTTCTAACTTGTAAGTAGTTGCGGTTGCGTCGTTGCGACCTGCTACTTGCTACTATTAGGAAATCGGTTCTGGTGTGTTCTGTATATTTTAGCCATTGACATCAACATTCAAGTTTTTCTTCCGATTTTCGTGCTCTGTGGTAAGTACAAAGTTATAAGATAGGAGTTTATTATTTGATCCACGGTATTTTGATATGGTTTCTGGATAATTATGATATTTATAGATTTGTTTTATTTTGTTGGTTATACATTAATCTATTGTTGTGGTTTTGATTATATATTTAGACGTAAATATAGTAGTTTCCAATCATGGAATCAGACAAGTCGACTTTTCAACCCATAGATTTAGTGGGCAAAGTTATAATTAAAGTATGTCTCCGGTGAATCTGTGCAATTTTAGTCAACTCGATGTATAACAAAAAATCATTTTATTTCCTCAGGTTCAATTAGGTGATGACATAAGAAAAGTATTAATTCACAATGAGTCTATAACATACGATGAATTATTATTAATGATGCAACGAATATTTAATGGAAAATTAACAGCTAATGACGATCTCACCATCAAATACAAAGACGAAGGTAGAATTTTTTTACTTATTGCTTTAAAATGTAATAAAATTAATTAATAGGTTCTAATACATTAGATAATTAAATATTGGAGGTTTACTATTTTGTGTTTATTATTAGATGGAGATTTGGTCACTGTATTTGATAGTCAAGACTTATCATTTGCTTTACAAACAAGTAGGGTATTAAAATTGCAAGTATTTATGAATAATTTAAGCTATCAAGAACGACTGAAGTCTAAACTAAATCCTGACGAACTTAAAAAACAATTGCGAGAAATAAGAGATGCTGTGACATGGTTATTAGATACAATTGAAGTTCCTAATGAAGGAAACAATAATAATGTGTCAAATTCTATACGTAATAATAATCAATACTAAATTATTATTTGTTAAGCAATGTATAATTTACTAATTATTTTATTAGAACAAGAACCAGTGAATGTTGCATCACCAGAAATACCAACAGATAATGGAGTTACTAAGGAATTTGATCCATTACGTAATTCTAAAGAAGAACGCTCAAAAACTCCTCAAACTTCACAGCAGGTTAAATGTAAGTATGATTATATCTAAAATTTTAGGTGCTAATTCTGTTTGTGCTCTACAAACAAGTTTTTGAGTCTATGTGCTCTACATATGTATCGTTTTGATTGTGTTTTATTTTATTGATTATTCACGTTCTGAATCAGAATACTAGTGATCAAAATTTGACTGCAAATGATTTAAAGGAACACCTCTCGTTTTCTTCAAGTATTCCCTCCAACCATGACTTCTCGATGTTTTCAGCGTGAGTCCCTGTGTTTGCATCGATATTTGGTGATTTAACACCTTTAATTTATTGGTACCGCCTTGTGTTCAAAACCTTGGCTTGTAAGACACCTATTACGTATGCCCATTCATCAAAACAATTTTCTGATCCTTCCTCGCATTCACATTCTATTATCGTAGAATTGTTTTCCGATAGTGTCGATGAAGAAACAAGCTATGGCAATCGTTTCAATTTTTTAAATCAAATACCCAGAGCCCATCTACACGTGCAACGTGATTTTGGTTATCAATTACTTCAGCATTTATATCTGTTAAGGAAGGATTTGTGGGCAATTCCAATATAAACATAAACTGCTGAACAATTTGATTAAGTGTTAACCCACTGTTACAACTTTGGTTCTAGTCAGTAAAATGAAGAAAACTCATAGCTATCTCGTTGTATGGCAGCCTCTTTTTGGAAACCAATAAATGGCTATCCACTCCCCATTTCAGCATTTCTGTCATTATACCTGCATTTCTGTGCCACAATTAAGAGAAGGGGCACTCTTTGGCACTTTTTAACAATTCTTTTTCTGCTAAAAACCGATGACACAAGACTTCATTTAATACTACTCTAGTATAAAACTCGAAAACATCACCACAGCCATCATAGTTAATAAATAATACACAAAAAAATAAAATATTAAGTAAATAAATATTATACTCGTAACGAACAACCTTTTCGCTATCGCTATGTTACTAAAAAACGACTGAAATAAAATTTAAGGTAAAGATAGTTAGAAATGATTAAAGATAAGATCTTGTAGAAACCCATCATATAAAAATATGGCATTATGTAACATAGTATTGTCCAATATCCAAATCAAATGCTTATATAAGGACTTACACTCTGTGTGCATTAGGAGCATGACCAGTTCTGCAGCCAAAACTACTTAGTCCACTACGCCACTCACCATAGTAAGTCACCGTCCGTCTAGTATACGGCTCCAACTGTAAACAGCCTCCCGCACTGTATAACAGCCACAAAATGTTTGATTAAAAACCAAAAGCCGGCTTCTTGAAACTGACAGTAAATTGTCAACAACTCAATTATGCTCTTAACCCTCTCTGAGTACATATTCTAATTTGCTTATACTTGCTGTAAGTGTTTTAATCCTCGACGAGTTGTGACTGGGAATGAAAAATTAAAAAAAAAATGGAGAGCAATGACGTATATGCTTGTCTGTTATGATCGATGAAATTAAATTTTAAAGTCGTTTAATCAGATGAAACACAAAGAAATAAAAAAGAATATGTGGGAAAACATAGGTTCATAGTGCATGCTCTTTTTGATAGTGATTTTAAAAACGTGTATATTTGTCCATGCTACTCAAAGTGTTAAAATTATAACAAATTTTTATACTTGTATAGTTATATGTTTTCAATATGAATAAGTTGTTTCTTAAGTATTTATTATTGATTTAAACATAAGTTAATCTATTTAGTTATTAACTACATATTTATTTGTCTGGTGTAATAGCTGAAGTATCTCAGGATAATTTAGCTATGTCTCAACCTCAAAGACAAACTCCACCAGTTCAGCAGTCTCAAATTCCTCAAACTATGTATAATGGACAATCTCAAGGCAATATGAATCAACACAATCCTTACTCTGGAGGGCAAATCCCACCACCAGGTTTGTATCTATTATATTAATTTACAGATGATTAATTACTGAATACTTAATAACAACATTTTACAGGGCCTCAGACTAAATGGGTGAATCCTTATCAGCAACCAGGTATGCGTGCGTCCTATCCAACAGCTCAATACTCTTATCTTTACTCAGCACAAATACCAGCATCTGGTTATTCCCAAATAACAGCTCAAATGAAGCCACCTACTGGAAATCAGCCTGTTCATTCATTGTATTATCCGACTAATACAACCCCTAATCCACAATATTCTGCTTCTCAGTATCCAGGACAATAATGATGAAAGTTACTATGATACAACCGCCAACTGAATGGACTGATTTACCCATTTAAAATATAAATATAGTGTTTTATAAATGCATTCAAAACTCATTTCAAACTTAAAAATAATTAATCTAAGGACTTGAAAATATTGAATGGTGTTGAATGGTTTATTTAAAAGGACAAATGTTTAATTAATATTATGTAGTGTTTTCAATTTTAGAGTTTTTTTTTGGAATTACAAATTATTTGTATTTAAAATTGATATAAATATTTTAAGTTAATATTAAGAAATTTCCCTATTTATATACATAAAAAAAATTTTGCACAACCTATTTGCAGATTTTTACAAGTACTGTATTTAAAGAATAATATTACATTTGAACATTTTTCATATTTTTAGTTATTGCATTCCATAATCCATCAGAACGTTTGTAAATTTTTATTTTATGAAATTTGATTGATATTTTTTATTGCCAATATATTATTCAAAAAGGTACTTAATATATTATCCACATTTATTAACTAAGACGTTAATAAATTAAAATGATGTTGATTGATGTATTTTTTTTTTTTTGAAAGGTTAAATGTCTACCCATTGTAATTATTAATTATGTTAATAATTTTATTTTTGGCTATGTTTATAATTTATTTAAAAAAATTCTGTATACATTTATAATATATTGAAAAAGAAATAAACATTCATGTATTTAATTTGTTTGTATTGTTATGTATTTTTATTTTGTATACCACTCATGTACTGTAATTTTTCTACCTTGAAAAATTAAATAGATTGAATAAATAAAGTTAAATATCATTTCCTAAAAATACATATTTATTATGTTTATTATATGGTATATTATGTTAGATTCAAAGAGAACAAGAAATGTTGTTCTTACAATACATTTATTTTTTGTGTATTATGTTTTGGAGCAAAAAATTTGATTCAATTTTAACGTTGTGTGTGTGATATCCTTATTCAGTGATTTTTATGCAGTTTATATACTGGAGGAGTAAAAAATAGGAGTTTCCCAATACTTTTCATAGTAATTGTGATAAACTAGGGAAAAACAATGCAAACATTTATGAATGGTGGAAAAAAATGCCCAGAAAAAATATGGAATACGGATTAAATGATAACAGGAAGACGAGAACAACCGGAATTGATAAATCCAAAAAAGTAGATGGTTTTAAATATCTTGGCACCAAAATAACTGAACCATAATACAGCAACATATGCCTGTAATTGGGCTATAGGGTGTAACAGGGTGGTCAAGTAGTTTCTGGTAGAACTTTTCGGGAAAAACAAAATTAAAATTGAGAAATAACTGGAATTTTTACTCAAAACCAGTTTTTTACAACTTCAGTTTTGTTAAATCGTATAACAGAAACTCACCAATTATTAATCATCGTAGATAGGATAGGTACTATGTATTTTAACAAAATGTTAACAATATCATTTTTCACAAAAGATATTTTCAAAATACATTGACTGTTTTTGAGGTATTTATGCACTTGAAATTTTTAATTTTCAATTTATTTTGTTGTATAATAATGTCGATAAAAATTGGTCAATAGGCTTAAAAATGTAATATAAAGTTTCCCATTATTCATTTATAAACTATTTCAAAAATATGAAAAATAAATTATAATATTTTTTAAAAGGTACCTAAGTGTTTAAAGTTAAAACGTTGACAACATTCGTCAAAATCACGAACTTTTTCAAACTATTTCGAATTAGAAATTCATATAATTATTTTACATTTTAAATCTCAGATTTTAAAATTTAGTACAAGATTCCTCATACAAAACAAAAAAAAACCTAAGGTACCCCTATATGTGTAGGGTACTCGAGGCGCATATTCTAACAGAAAAATAGTAATACATTTTGTTCTGAGCACAATTAATTTAGGTAGTAATGATAGCTTAATATTTCATTATAAATCGTGGTCTGAGTAAGTACCTATCAGCAGATCCACATTTAAGAGGAGGCCAGGATGGGCAATTGACCAATGATATGGAGGGGTTCAAGTGGAACTTAAAGGGCTATAAATCTATATATGAGTTTTTTTGTGTTTGGACGTAATATAACGCAATGTAATTTTTTTTTTGTATGTATTGTATTCTCGATTTATAGATGGGAGTTTAAAAATCTAGTTTATTAATAATTGTCATTGTCAATGGTGCCTGCCATTACTTATATTATTATTAGTGCATCATTATAAAATAAACGAAAAATGTACAGTCTTAAAATGACCATAACCTACTTAAATAAAAAAAATCCTCAGAGACGCAACAGATAATATTCTTGCTTTTAAATTTTATAAGAGGTAAATTTACTCTAAATTTAGAAATTACGGAGTAAAATACTAAATTGTGAACGTACAATTTGCCATGTTGAAGTTGAACGTTTGTAAAACGGCGAAATGCCCGTGTGGCGTCCTCTTAATATTATTATTAAAATGTTAAAAATTATTTGGTAACCTTGAATCTTGGTTACCAAAAAGTTAGACTGTCTTCGATTTATTTTAGTTTTTTTTTTTATGGATGTTGATAAAATATTATTGGTTAGAGTTTAAAATTGAATATAATGTTCTTCGTAATTGTTATTATATAGTTATTTTAAGATATTAAAGATCCAAAGCCAAATTTTTTTTATAAGAATTCGTCAAAATCACGAAAATTTGCAAATTATTTTGTAGCTAAACATTTTATAAAATGTTCAATTTTTTTACAACTAAGCTTCACATTGGGGGATACGTGCAATTTAGCTCTCAATCGATTTTGGAAATTGTTATTGGAAACCTTTGTATCTTTTTTTGGAAGTACTTACCTATACCATCATAATATGGCAAATACACAATTTTGAAAAAAAATTCGTAAAAATCGCTTGGGGGATAACTTGTATTTGTTCCAACATTTAATTTATATGTTGTATAATAATATATTTAAACACAAAATACTCGTCAAAATTATCACCTCGTAGTTCCACCTTGGGGAGGATTGTCCACCATAGTTTCCCCCTAAAATGTAAACACTGGCCTGATTACCCATTTATTAATAATTAATAAGACCGTGTGCGTACTTGCGTTTAGGACGTAGGTGTTAGGTAGGTACTCATAGAGTAATTTTACTCTATGACGTGTACGGTTTAAATATTCTTTTCTATGCGGTTTACCTTGTACTTACAAGTTACAACTTACGCAATGGACGTGACTAATGTCCGGTGAATCGATAATAAATACTATAGTTTATAATAATTGAAGTTTGTCAAACACTTTAATAAATACGTGTGCCTCAGTGCCTATTTATTATTGTTATCGTGAATTTGAGATATTATGGAGCAATTTATATTATTATTAAAATTCCATTTATATTCCACACTCGGATTAATGTCACCGGCAATTATCGCACTTCAATTCGTGGAGTACACAACACACTACACATAGATAATATAAGAATACTTATTTGTCTACGAGAGCACAGCAATAACAACAACAACAACAACAATGACAATTATTATTTTATGTTTCAGGCTTAGACATAGATACATAAATACATTTGTACAAATTATCTATGGGCTTAGGTTCTCATAGGAGACATAGGTTTATGTTTTTGTTTTTTCTTATTAGGCTTAGGTTCACATAATAATATTATAATATTATTACTACAGTTAGATAGTACGTAATGATACCAATATATACCATAATCATATTGTGGACTGTTTTTCATATCAACAGTGGGTGCGTCATAATAAAAAACAAAACCAGAAAAAAACTGATATCGGTCAAATACTCAAATTAATTTAGTGATATAAACTTATCTACGACTGATATGTAACATCAACAATAATAATTTGCTATTTACAGTTTTGTTAAATTATTATGATCATTGATCGTTATTATTAGGTAAGCACCTATTAAGTTGCAGTTTTTATTTAATTTTTTATATAAGAAATTCAAAAGTTTTTAGTTTATTTTCACCCTCTATAATATTACTTATATTTATCTTTGTGACAAATGAGTTTTAAAGACAAACTGTAACCCATTATTGTGGCATTTGACATCCTAAAGACTTACAAAGTGATGTAGGTCAATGTTTAATCTGTAAGTTAGATCTTAGTTATAATAATATATACTTAATTATTGATATCTACCTATGAGTCCTGTGATCTCATAGGACTTAATAACAAATGATAAATGAGTCAGAATTCAGAATGACTATAGATAGAGAAATGTTTGAGTGACTATTTAATAGCCTATTAGTAAATAAATAATGAATAGGTACTTAATTTATCTATTTAAATATACTTATATAAAATATAATTGATTTTAATATTTCAAGAAAAAAATATAGTTGTGTATAATATACAATTAAAACTTATAAGTACTGTTTACTTAAATCATATTTGTTACACAATAAAAAGCATAAATGCTGAATCAGTAAATATTCTCGATATACTGTATACATAATATTATTATATAATACATGTCTATAATGAATAATTATACATTTTGACCATAGATTTTATTAACTCTTTTGAACTAGGTGCTTATTTGTGTTACTTATTAACATATATAAAAATTATGACCAGTTATACATAAGTTATATGTTTCTGAAGTGTCTACTTACACTATACTCTATCCAGAATAAGAACGCATGCGGCACAGCGAAGGGTGTAGGCAGAGTGCGAGGTGTCAACGGCAATGGTCTGTGGAGTGGAGCAAATGTGCAAACTAGAACCAGTTTTTGTCTGCCGCCTGGTGCATTATTATTCTCGATAGAGTATAGTTTGATAAAAATTAGAATCTTATTATTTCTTTTTGTCATTCTGACAAAACTTTTGTGCATAAAATATGTTTTTGCTTTTTGAATGGCTTTCTAATACAATTATAATTTAATGATACAAATGGTGGTTAGGTAATTATTCATTTATATAAAAAGTAGACAGCATAAAATAAATCTTAATAGTAAAGTTCTAAATATATTATAAGTAAATAATATGTAATAGATAGGTAACTGAGATAGCCAGATAAACGTATAGCGATAACTAAAACTTAATTTTAAAATTATGATAT